TCTTCCCCCCACTCCCCTCTTCCCAAGCTGGATCAGTGTGTAGGGAGGGCAGTCATCACGCCATCCTAAGCAGCAAGAGCTGACGTTGGACGAAGCTGCCAGGTAGCTGAAAAAAGACACAGAAGGCAGCTGATACCCACTTTTCAACGTTTTCTTTTTTTTTTTTTTAGTCTGAATCTGGACTTCAAGCAACACAGCGCCTGAGACAGCTCATCTGAACCACACTGTATTGCAATACTCGCTCTTCCCAAAGAAAAAGACTCCACTGAGTAGCAGAATGCTGCCAGTGTCGCAGCTAGGGCTACAATACAGAGCCTTTTTGTAACATTTTAAAATCTCTTTCTGTTCATACATTTAGAGAGACATACATACACCCATATATCAGTTCTTCCTTTTTTGAGGGCACCTTTGGCTTTTGTTACCCTGATGTGACTTCTTCTTCGTCTTGGAATGATGGGGATCTTTCTAGCTTATGTTGGATTCATTTTCTTTTCAGTTATGTATATTCAACAAGGACTTTCTACCCAAGGTAAGATCACTTATTGTCAAATACGTGTGTGTGTTTTTCTATGCTAAAACGGACTGAAAACAGTATTGGGGGGAGGGGGGGGCACGAGGAAGAAGAGAATAAAAAGAAGGAAAACAACCACAATGGATAGGAGATGAGGACACCAAGCATCAGGTTTACATTTAGCTTTAAAATTGTCTGTAAATAGGAACAGAAGTGAGAAGTTTCCCCAAAGTGGGAATAAAACAAGCTTCTTTTACTTGATTGCAAAGAGGGAAATAACAGGCACCTTGCAGAAGAGTAAAGGGCTGTTGGTGAATGGACATACATGTGTTTGGGTTGTGCATGTTTGTATATATGCATGTATGCATACAATAAACACCTACCCGTGCATGCATAATTATTGCATTCAGACCAAGTACCGGGTGGCTAAATCTACTGCCTCCCTTAAAATATTGCGGTCTGCTTTCGTGCTGCGTCCCCTTTCCTCTCATATCATCCTGCAGTCCTCAGAGTCAGACCTTCATTTCCATTCTGTCACTATGTGTATTTCTGCTCCCCCCGCCCAAAAAAAAAAAAAAAAAAAAAAA